GAAACTCTATGTTGACACAAAAGAAGTAGTTTTTCTGAGTTCAGTTGAAGTTCACTGCTTATCAGTAAACCTCTGCTATGAAGAGCTAAATCAGTCCTTTCGAAATACGTGCATTGACTACAGTTTTAATTGAAAATAGCTTGTGTTGTCACTAGTTTCCACAGCACAGCTGCATGCAGAGTCAAGAGCCAGCAATCAACTCCCCGAGGAACATAGAATAGCTTCTAAGAAATGTACTCTTGTCTCCTGTATGAAAAATTGTGTTTTGGGGACCAATGGCTTAATCCCAAGTTGCTAGCAAAATGTAAAAAAGTAGAACTAAAAATAACTGCTGACGTTGGTCTGCTTCACTCCCTAACGTTAAGATCTTAAAATATTTCTGTAACTCTCACTTCACACAGTAAGTGAATGCATGGGATGTCAAAAAGCACAATACCAAGCTGGCAGAAGCAAAGGTGCAAATGATGTAGTGGTTTTGCATAACAAAACACCTGCAAATAAATCTGTCTTCTACAGCACAGCAGATTTTTAGTTTTAGGGTGTTTTTTTAAAATATTCAGCTCATGCTCAATTTAACACAATATAAATACAAATCTATTAAAATTACACAATTGAACAGTGATGGCATCCTATTTTACTAATTAAACTTACTAAAACATATTAAAGCTCTTCATAAACTCAACTTTAAAGTAGTACTTTTTACTGACAAAAATCAAATATTATCTCAGCACAAATCATTGGCTAAGAACTAAGCTCTGCACTTTGTTGAAGTGCTAAACCTGCTCTTAATGGTTCTGTAGTCTTCTGCAGATGCGCAGAATCTCTTTGTTAAAGTTTACAGTACTAGTGCTGTCTATTCACTGTCTCACTCAAAGCTCATAAATGATTTGGGACTGAAAAACACAGGAAACATTTCCTTTTTCTAACCTGTGCATCTAAATGAGACAAAAGATGAAGAACTACTAACTCTGAAATATTAGAAGGCAGATAACAATACTTTTTTTTAGTAAGTTCAGTATGTATACAGTACACTTTGATTTAACTAACATACACTTTAAAATTACATTTTACTTCATTGTAATTGGATTCCACTGCCACTCTACACAGAAACTGACAGAAGCCACAGGAGCCATCAGATGGTAGGAATGCATCTTTTTTCTTGCTTAGCATGAGGAACTAGGTTTAATATTAAAGATTTGTTTTGTTGCAAACCAGAAAGTTTTCATATCTGGTCAATAAGAATCAACATTTGTTCAGGAAAAGAACAAATACAAGAGAAGACTGTAACTGAGTAACTGCAAACATTAAGGTCTTCTGTTTACTAATTTAAATCATAGTTAAAACCAGTCAGGAAGCCAAACCACTTCTTTAGATTAGTCCATCCTAAGTAGGCCATCACTATTAGATTTATGAGGCTGAGATGAAAAAGGAATCAGCATGATGAATGTACTGCATTAACAACACTATTAATACACAAACAAAAAAGCTGTTAATAGTGATATAGGGAAAACTTAGAAGATGCAATAAAATAGACTCTCTTGAGAAGGAGGAAGAAAAAACAGAAATAAGTCAGCATGAAGGAAAATGCCAAAAGAATGTATACATTTAATAGAAAAGATTCCAAAAATCTCTCTCTGTTCATAAGATCCTTTAATGATCATAGTGATCCAAGTCTGGACACTGAACAACCATCACTGAATTCATCAGTATAAATTAAAAGTGATTTCTTCAGGACAATATATATGATAGGCACACTTAAACATAGAAAGATACTACTCTAACATAAGTACACATGAAGGCAACAGAACATTTTAAAGCAGAATAATCAGATACTAATTGCACAAACCAAAAATTATGGTTATTTGCAGGAGTATCCCCCTAAAAAAACTAAAGGAGTTTTGATCTTTAGATGCACACTTGATGTGAAAATTCTGTGTTTGTCTACAAAACACCACAAAAAGGTGACAAGTGCATTGGCTAGCTCAGACTCTTTACTAATGGAGTTAGAGGACAGCCACCACCAGACGGAGCACTTGCACTCAGTGTTTTGTCAAGGAAAGAAGAGGAAGACAATGAGCAAAAATAGGATAAATGCTGATACGATGAATAGCTATAATGCAAAATGAAGCTCCTAGAAAGGCTGGACTGTAAAAATAAAAATAGTGAAGAGAAACTTATAAATTGAACATATGTGATTTTCCAAAAATAAATTTAATTTTGCTGCTGAGGAAGAGGTTACCTGCAAATACAGTCTCTCTGTTTGAAGATGGGTATTTTTAAATCTTTGCGTGTGTGTGGTTCTCTTGCATTAATGGATTTAGTCCCTGCTGATCCCCACCCAAGCAGAAATAATTCCTTTGTCCACTCCACAGTGAAGAAAGGATCTTTGACACTGGATGTCATTTAGAGAGTTGAAAATAACTCCAACAGGGAATTCCTATATTATACAAGTTCTCTGGTAAATATGGAACTCCTAGAGTGAATGCTTAGAGCAGGTGTCAGGTTCAAAAAAAGACAATGTGCCATCAACATGTGTCTCGGAGCCACAGAGTGTCTCCTTTGGCTCCACACAGTACTGCACCTACAGCTGTAACGTAGCCCACAGAATACAATGCCCAATATTGTTTTTAAAAGAAACACCAGACTTGAGAAGAAATAAAGATTTCTTTGAAAAATATTAAAACTTTGGGGGTGGAGGGAGGAAGGGAAAGAAAGAGGGAGAGAAGGAGAAAACTATACTAAGAAAGCACTGGCATTCTTGGGCTGACCTTTCTCTTCACCTCAGCTTTTCCAATTCTGGAGCACCTGTCTTTCAGAAATGTTTTTTCCTTTAACACTTTTGTTCCAACAGCATCTTTGCAGGAGAGAAGCAAGATCTACTACCTCTTTTTGGAGCTGATCTGCAAATGGTGACTCTGATGCATGTTCTGCTCTGTAAAGAAACTCCAGCTAAATACGAATTAGCTCACATACTGGACTCAGCATGAGCATACTAGCACGAGACTGTGTGTCTTAATTTCCTTCCTTCTCTGAGTTTCCTTACAACAGTTAATTGTCCTAACTATATACAGTTAATTCTCTCTAACTACAGTGTCCATTGATGTGCTTCTATCACTTCAATACATAACCTTCATTATGAAAGACTAACTTTAATATTATAGCTGATTCACATTACATTAATATAACATAAATACTCATCCAAAGCCACTCACACAAAGGATGGAAGAGGATATGCAACGAAAACTACATTTTCAGGTCTGAGAACTCCTGCCTTTCTGCTCTCTCCTACAATCTCCTACAAAGCTGTTTTGAGAAACAGTACGAACAGTCATGTTCCCTTCTGCTGCCTGTTCAAGAGATCCCCTAATGCTGTCCCAAGAAAAATGGGTGCAAGCCAACACAACAAACCTCATGACAAAAATAAACTAAAAGTCTTCTTCACATCAGGAGGAGCTAATTCGGCTCGTAGTTCCTTTGGAAGAGGAATTCCAGCAGTCTAAGGCATACAGAGATGTCCAGGTGACTAATCAGCATGCTGCAATACACAGCACACATTAATCAGGGTCCTCCATCACTGTTTTCTTTAATGCAGTCATAAATAAAACCCACCTAGCACCCACCCACACCACAAGAAGTTAATCTCAATATTCCTCTTTATTCTGGGAGAATTAGCTTTCATTTTACACGTTTCTTGGATACACTGTTGAAAAGCAAATAATAACCAATGAACTGCTACTGGTTTCTCATCAACAAATTTTTGACACAAGGACATGTATGCTTTCCAATTTGAGGAAGTAGAATTGTCTGTAATTTATGAAATAACCATGGTTACTATATTAAATATAAAATTTATACATACCCTATCAAAGCCTGCATTAAGAAGGGGAAGAACTGAAGTCTCTTCTTGGTCAGCAGATCTACAAAACAAAATCATAGAATCATAGAAATGTTTAGGTTGGAAAACACCCTTAAGACCATCAAGTCCAACCATTAACCTAACACTACAAAGTTCACCACTAAACAATGTACCTAAGGATCACATCTACACATCTTCTAAATACCCCAGAAATGGTGAGTCAATCGCTTCCCTGGGCAGCCTACTGCAATGCTTGACAAAGCTTTCAGTGAAAAATTTTTTTTTAAAGTCCGATTTAAACCTCCCCTGGTGTAACTTGAGACCATTTCCTCTTTTCCTATATTTGTTACCTGACAGGGGGTTGCTAGCAAGGTGGGGGTTGTTCTTTTCTCTCAAGGCCCATCTTGCTAAAGACTTCTTGTTAGGTAGTTGTAGAGAGCAATAAGGTTTCCCCTCAGCCTCCTTTTCTCCAGGCTAAACAGACCCAGTGCCCTCAGCCGCCCTTCATAAGATTTGTTTTCCAGACCCTACACCAGCTTCATTGTCCTTCTCTGGACATGTTCCAGCACCTCAATGCCTTTCTTGGGAGTGAAGGGCCCAGAACTGAACACAGGATTCCAGGTACAGCCTCACCAGTTCTGAGTACAGGAGGACGATCACTTCCCTGGTCCTACTGCTCCTAATACAAGCCAGGATGCCATTGGCCTTCTTGGCCATCTGCGCACACTGCTGGCTCATGTTCAGCTGGCTGTCCATCAACACCCCAAGGGCCTTTTCTGCTGGGCAGCTTTCCAGCCACTCCTCCCTAAGCTTGTAGCGCTGCCTGGGGTTGTTGTGATCCAAGGGCAGGACCCAGTTCTCGGCCTTGTTGAACCTTGTACAGTTGACTTTGACCCACTGATCCAGCTTGTCGAGATCCCTCTGCAGAGCCTCCCCACAGCCTCCAGCTGATCACGACTCCCATCCAACTTGGTGTCATCTGCAAACTTACTGAGGGTGCACTCAATTCCCTCATCCAGGTGACTGACAAAGAACTGGTACGTTGCACGGTCACACAATATTTAAGAATTTGATGGCACCAATTTGACATAATTACCCAAGCATAACAAATGCAGTGAGAACACTCCTACAAAAAATACATACATAAAATCATACTATTAAAGAAGTTGATGGTATGGTCTTGCATACTTGCAGCTATTACTACAACCTGATAGTTATCTTACAACAAACCTGACAGATACTCTACAGAAGTCACATGTCTCTTCGCAGACACAGTAAGGCATTAAAAAAAGAAAAAATGAAGAGGATAAAAGACATCCTGTGGTATCCTAAGAGAAAGAATCTAATCAAGTGTTAGTAACTAAAAGTTGAAGCTAGCTCTAAAGTCTTGCTCAGCAGCAAACTGAGTCTGTTTTCTAATCTTGGTAGGTATAGCTCTTCTCCTGCTACTCTGTTTCTTAATATATTAATTGACCTGGGAAAATAATAAAATTAGAATGCATTCAGTATTGTGCAGGAACTTTAGCAAAGACACAGGAAAGGTCTCTTTTTTGAAGGTAATTGATAAAAATATATTTAAGTCAGTAAGAATTCTGCTTGAATACATGGGGTACGAATCACTGAATAAGGATTTCAGGATAACATTCTGGTGAGTTTAGTACTAATAGGACTGAAGTTTACTCCATCACCCAGTTCCTTAATAACCCCACGTGTTACTTGATCTAGTTATTTCCTTTAGAAAGTAACACACAGATTTATTTATTTTTTCTTTTAGAAACCAGCACACAAAAGCCATTACATTATGGTCCTCCGAAGGTGACAGGAACAGTATTAGTCTGTATAAATGAAAAGTCACCAAATATTTAAATAGGCCACATAAATATTCACTAACACAAAACAGGTGAAATATTATTAAACTTACTCTGTTAGATTTGTTGGTAAGATACTTTCTGTTATTAGATATGTATTACACATAACATTCTTACAAAGTAAGATAAAAATCTTTCACAAAAAAGTAATACTCACGTGTGTGGAACCACAGCAAGTATTACAGTGTGCTCTGATGGTTTTGTGGCACGAATAGACCTGAGGAAACAGGATTTCTGAGTTACAACACATGCTCTCTCAATGTTACTCTGAGTATCTTCACAAAAATTATAAATGAAAACCAGGACTGAAAGACAGCATTGCGGCTAGAAAATAGGATACCATACTATCAAAACCTACCTAGCCTCGCTCAGACAATCCATTTCCCTTTTGCCACCAGATTCCTCAGATTTTGATCAATGCAGTGAAGAGGTAAGAGCTCCAAAACCACAGGATATGAACAGCAGCTCTTCAAATCCGCTCTTATAATCTAGCAAAGGTTAGCCATGTTTACCTAGCTTATTTGGGGCAGACTGCTCTCACTGTATGGGTTTAGAAAGGTCAGTCTATACAATGCATTTTCAACACTCATTAGCTAATTTAAACAAGAATCTCTACCACTTCTCCCATATTTACCATTGTCCTTCCAGATACTCTAGAAATGTCTCTAGAAGGTTGGAAGTGCTTTTGGGATGTGCAAGTAGGAAAAGTGGGTATAGCAAATACATATGATAGACTATCATTCAGGAAAAGCTGAATAAACAGAATTTGACCATTTGACATATTATTAAGAAACTGAAAAAATATGGTCAACTATCAAAAAACCATTCCATTCACCTTTTACTGGCTAAAGGCAACTTTTTTTTCAGTCAATGTCACAGTGTCCCAGATAAATAGTCCTTGTATTTATTTGTTGGTCTTCTTTTGAAAGACTTTCATCAGCAGAAGTATTTGAGCTTTAAAACTCTCCTTGTCATAAAAATAGCAAATTTCAGCTCATAATGGTCTGAGAAGCACAGTATGGTGCATGGTACAACATGTATGCTTCAGCTGAAACTGTATTTTAGCAAAGAATCCCAATACCAAGGGCTGCAGCCTTAGACCTGCTAAGACAGTCACGTGGACCAGAAGAATGATGTGAACTTTTGTGAAGAGCTGGCAGTGCCTGACCCAGTGGACAAACGAATGTTCTTTTGAAGCCCTGCAGCTTCAGAGTTTGCTGCAGCAGTAACCCAGGAAAGAAGCAAGCATAGACAGCAGGAAATAATTTCACAACAGGTTTGGCTTATGCTCTGATAGAAGCCCATGAACTAGGGAAACAACTCTACAGTTTAGCTTTGCCAAAAGTGTATGTTTCGTATTCTCCTCTAACAGATGTAGGCAAACCTCCCGGCCTTAACCCTTAACTTCCATTTTGCTACAGTTTTGAGCGTTTGTTTTGTTTTATCCCTCCCGCCTCCTCTATTTCTTATTTTTAAAATTAGGAGGTTTGGTTTTGTGCAATACATTCTGAACTTCCAGAGAAGCATAAGGTCTTTTAGGTTACCTGCAGATATTTTCCGCATCAAAATATCTGGAGTTCCTGTGATCTATGACAATTATTTCCTGGTGCTTATCAAGAAAACATTCAAGCGCTGACTCTGGAGTGCGGGCGATATTGCACCTGTATCCAGCTCTGTCACAAGCCCACCAGAAACCATCACTTTGGTTGTCTTCCTTTGCAAAGATCAGCAAAACCTGCAAGGCATGCACAACAGTGGCACCACATTAAACATACAAAATAGTTCTCTACATGGTGCAGATCTTAAACACTTCTGCTATATGAAAGATTGAGTCTGCTTTGACAGTGGGAAGATGGAGCTACAGACTGTAAAACTTCTGCCGCAGGAGCGCAACTTTCTTAATAAAGTGATTAATAATATATAATCAACAGTTAACTGTGTAGGACTAATACTGAGAACAAAACTAGCTAATAGATGATGAGCCTTTTCTAACTCATGTTCAAATTCAATCAGCTGCCACTCAGACTAGGTGGGTAGATGTTCAATCATGATTGCCACTCTCATCAGGCCTTCCCAGTTACACACACTTTTAATTGTAATGAACTGCCTGAAATGCATCTGCCTTAATTGTCATTTTTCAGAGACAAACAATTAACGTGACACAGGCGTATCCATTATTTCTCACTGTCATACAACAAAATCAACTCATATTCTTTAAAAACTGAAAAGAACCACAGTCAAGCAGGTATGGACAGGGCTGGAAAGGGGAAAAAAATTTGTTCAGCCATCACAATTTTTACCCAATAAACTGTCCCTAATTATGTAAAGACACGAGGCAGTTTAGACAACTTCAACTGAACACTTAAGGAACTGCTTGCAAGATCAAGTAGGATGTGTGCTGAAGCGCTGTTCTAAAAATCAAGTTGATGCTGTAGGAAGGCTGTTTGCTAACTGACGAAGAGAACAGGCTGAAAACAGCTCTATTTGTGTGCATCTTGAGTGAAAGAAAGAGTAAATTAGGAGAGAACAAATTTTTCATCCTTGCCCTATAATGTATATATTACCAGTATACAAATTACATAGCTAGGAACACAAGTCATGTAGACAATCCCCTTCACAACTTGACCATATTTATCATAGCAACTGATGACTAAGCATGTCCCCTTGTGTGACAGATGAAGAAAAAGTTTAATTTAGTGCAAGTATGCTGTGAAAAACAACGGCCTTAAAGAGTCAAAAGATTATCCACAGCTGTTCAAACTGCACAGAAAGGCAGCAGCTAAAGAATAATCTACATATAAAGCAAAACCCTGAAGTTATCCCCTGACTTCACTGAAACAATCTGTCAGAGCAAAATATGCAAAATTTTGCCTCAAATGACCACAAGAAAGGTCAATAACCTTTCATCTGTGCTGCTCTATGGAGCTGTGGTGTCACCATGTCAAACTGAACACCATCGGTCTAGAAGCTAGAAGCTCTTATCTTGAGCTGAGTTGTTGAATTCTAAACAATAACAAATCAAATAATGTTGCAGTGGCAGAAAAACCAGTCAAGGTTTCATTAAACAGTAGAAGAAAATTATATGCTTGGTATTTCCATAAATATGAAGAAGTAATTTAAGGAGTTTTAATTTTTTAGAAAGAGTATTTTTAATTGTGGTTAAGAATAAGCAGATTTCATATTTAAGGTAACTGTTGTCACTCTACCTAATGTCTGATTTTTTTTTTTCAGCCATTGAATTGTTGGGGAGAACTTACATGGTTGAGCTGCAGACTTTGTGGATACTTGGGCAAAGTTCCTGCTCTGATACATTCTGCTGTTTGGATCCAACTGCTGCAAGTTTTATTTTGCTCCTAGCCTGATCAGTACAACACGGCTCAGAAAATGTTTTGGGAGGGGGATTTTTTTTGATATTTTTCTTCTCTTAACATTGCAAAATGCAATAATTTACCAGCTGTAAAATAATACAGCTTAGTTAAACCAGCCGATCTCCAACAGGCAGCCTATTATCAGTGTCTGACTCCTTCAGAGAACATTAACTTTAAAAAGTTTTTAAAAGTATTATTAGCGTGCTTTGTCATTACTATAAACAATGAAAACATAATGGATCTAGAAGCACATTGCAAGATACATTCTCCAAGTCAAGATAAAAATATAACAATCCATATAAACAACACTGTCAAGGAAAAGCTTGAATTCAATCTGTGTTTCTTGAAAAAAAAACAACGCACCTTATAGCTATTTTTTTGTATATAATTCATCAGCATTACTGTAAAAAGATCATTTTACTCAGTGCTACTCTTGTCTAGGAGCACTGTGGACTTACGTGGAGACCTTTACATTTTTTTGGTGATCTATAGGAATTTTTACGATCTTTCTCAGTATTTGCTTAGAACAACTATTGCATGTCTTCGTCTTAGCTTATCATACAAATACTGAAAATGGATAGATGCATTAACTGAGTACTGACACATAGGGTACTATAATGAAAGTGAGAAAATTTCAAACAGCATCTTAAGAAATAAAAATAAAGTTACTTAATTATTTTTACGTTACTGTATTCCTGCAAGAGAGTTTTAAGGCGGAAAACACATAGTGGGTCTGAATTAAGTTGGGAAGGAGCTCTTGTTACACTGAAAATTGGCAATAAAATGCTGCATGTCATCATGCATTGTCTGCAGCTCGATAAGGATGATCACCATAATCTGAAGAGAAATTACATTTGATGGCAATATTGTGAAAGAGCTGATAGCCAATGAATGTCCAAAGAAGTGAGAAAAGGCAGATCCAAATCTTTATTAGCCCTGGTAAATACACTGCAAAAGAATAAAACAGCTTTTAATGTACACTAAACAGTTTAAAAAAAATGCCTTTCTCTTGTGTGTGCTGGAGAAAGTGCATTTACATGTACTTTTATCATAGTAATTTCTAACCAAACCACCTGCAACCCTTGGTACCAAATCGGGCTACATGTGTAAGCTGTGTGTGAAGAGGGCATTTGGAGGGCCAGAGCTGGCAAGTTTAAAATTCCCTTGTCTCTTAACGCCAGCAGCACCTGGGTCACGATCTAGTACAAACCAAACCAGACTTGTCCTCCAGCGGAGGTGGTCATTATTAAATAGTTTATGGCAGGTCAAAGTCACAAGTCAGGTCACTTCTCAGGCAAACATAAGGGCCATTTCAGGGTTGGCACAGGTGTCCCATAACAGCATAAAACAAACACCAGAACAAAATCAACATCAGTAAGAGAAGCTCTGGTGGCAATTGGTTTAACAAACCAAACTGACTTACCAGGCAATTGTGAACATGATTAAGCACCCACAAATAGACATTTAAAATGTGATATTCAGTAGCTGTTTACACTATATAGGGAAACACGTAACTCCATTGTCAAAATGGAATAAAAGATTAACACACATATTTTAGATGCGTGGATGTGTGCAATACTTGCCAAATTTGCTGAGGTAATCTGGCTTGTCTCACAAACAAAGAAAGTAGGTTTACATAAAGTGTATTCCCATTACTGTAAATATCTTAGTGTATAGCAAAAACTTTATGGAAAATCCTTTGATTAATAGTTTTACTTCAGGTCTGCTTTCAGCTCTACTTAAGGTCTTCTGTGGTAGCACCATATGTTCTCACTTTTGTAATGTAAGGATAAAATAACATCTTTACTTAACAAGACACCAAAAAGCATGTAAAACACTTTTAAAAACAACAAAAACCCACCTTCCCTTCTTACATGAAAAGTCTTCACTTATAACAGTTATAATAGTTAACACTGGTACTGTGATACTTTGGAAAATCCATTTTCTACAAAGTAAAATCCTGATACAAGCACTGAGAGTATTTGTATTTTTCACATATCTGCTTGACCATTTTTCTGAATATGATCACAGTCTAAATGACACTTTTCTGTGAAGAGTTCCACACTTCTATGTTGAAATTCCTTGCAAAACCAGACTGGCCTACTTCTGAATCCGCTGTTCCACAGTCTTACTATGATATGAAGAAAGATCAAATTATCATTAAGACTTAATGCATAATACAGAATAAAAATGTGCTTTATGCTGGATACAAATACAATTTTCCTTGAGAATAGTGTTTGTTCCACATATATTTTTTCCCCCTCATAGCCAGATTTGAGGAAAAGCAAACAAACCAAAAATAAAAGGCGACTGGTGACTAGATGTCTCAGTATTTTACAGAGTTAAGTGACCCAAAATGTTAACTCAAACGAATGCTTTATCATGAGAGCAATGTCAAAGACTAAGATTATCTAATTTCCTATCATCTGAGGGCTCTAATACCCAGTATAAACTAAAAAAACCAACACTTGGTATCTGTTTACCGGCACAGGCAGAAAATGTACAGAAACAGAAGCAAGTGTGGGTGAGAGCTGTTGCTCCTTAAATGGAAGTTCAACCTGTCTTGTTGAAAGTGGTGTGATTTCTTGGATTGTTGACCCCAAAAAGCACAGTTCTTTGTCCTGTTGTGCAAAACCCTTCAAAACACATAGCATGCCTACATCTTCTCTGGAGCTTGCTTCTTTGCTATATCAGTACTGAACAGTTTTTAATATCCAGAGAGGCAGCTCTTTCCTCTCGTAATGACACATACAAGCACACTCCTATTGACAGGACATATAAAAGAAATTATTGATGTTAATGGAAACCTAAGCACCTTGTTTACCAAGTTAATTTATTTACTTGTAGATCTCTTCTCAAGCAATCAGATAAACCAAAACAGCAATTACCCATCTCACAGTCCTTGCACAAGTAAAATGAAAACACTACAGTTAACTATAAGAGTGGAACCTTAATTTCTTCACCCATTAACACTGAATTAACTATATCACAAAACCGAAAGAGCATCTTACCTGAATTGGATCTTGTGTCAGTCTCATGGGCCCAATTTGTACTTCTGTAGTTGAAGCCTGCTAAAGAAGAGTAATACAGATGTTTTTTGTCAGTCTGATTCTTAACAAGATAGCACTTTAAATGCAAGAATCAAAGATCAAACAGAAATGTGAAAGACTCTTGCAGGCAGGCAGGCATATGACTAGCAGTCTTAATTTAGTTGCTTTGAAGTGTCTCTTTTATAAGCGTATTTTTTCCAAACTCTTAATTTTGTTTTATTCGCCTCTAAATAAAAATTGTAGGATTTTAAATAAGGAAACAAGAAACACCACTTCCTTTCCCCCCTTTCCCCAAAAGGGTACTTTGGTTACACAGAATGAATTGTATTTTGCTTAAGACTACAGAAAGCTACTTTTTTTTCCAGCAAAAAAAATTTATTTCTTCATTTGAATGTAATACAGAACTTGTATTAAAGGTCTTGTGGCATATATTCAATAACAATATTTTAATGGGCTTGGTCAGAAGAAAAGTGAGTTTTCAGACAAGTGAACTTGTTTGGATTGCAGATTTAAAATTGTTTTCCAGAACCATAGCCTCTAGTTTGCAGGGAAAAACATTGCTGCCATGTGAGCCATGATATTTTCAGAAGACATGAGAGCACATAATGATTTAAATCTACTGCAAGAGAGTCAGCAGATGTTGGCTGTGGCTGTTTTCTTGCCATATTTCCTAGGAGCTGGACTACCTTAATACTTTTTGTGTCTTGATACATATCAATACACTTCTCCGGTACACTACTGATTTGTTTTACTTCAGATTATTACCCACAGAAGGTTGTTAAGCAACTGAACAACACCTATGTCCTCCCACAGATGCATGTACTTAAGTAAAACCATCTTTGAACCCTTAAAATATTGTTACCCTTATGTATGTAGAGGCTTATTTGCAAGCGAGCAACCTCCCAAAGCTCTCTGCTTTCCTGGTACCAGTTACCCCAGGTGAACACAACCCTAATTGCAAGCTGATTCCCAGGACCATTCTGTGACACACAGAAATCCTGGAGCCTTATTCCTGCAGCATTTTGCTCTGTGGTGCTTGTTAATTTAAACCTCTTGTCCAGGTATTACTTGATTTTTAAATATAGTATTTTTCAAAGGAATGTGTCTAAACATTCAAAATGGATGAAGTTATCAGCATTCAACTTTTTTCTTTAGTGAATACAATACCATGTTAAGTATTAACAGCCTTGCCTGCATGTGAGACAGTAGTATTATGTATAGCTACAACTGATACGTTATACTTTCATGCACCACTGAACATCGATTCTTCTCAACCCAACAACCTACGTCAGAAGGTGGTAACAGGCAGCACTCCAAAAGATTAAGCTACAAAGCCTGCCAATGTCTTCCAAAGCAAAAACTGCCCCCAATATAGGTGTAGTTAACCTCTCCTCACACAAAAGCTTCACTTGCCACTTGAGCTCCTGCCACAGTAGAAAGTAAGTTAATGCCAGAAAGCATACCAGAATAAAAATTAAATTTAGCACCAATCTTCAACTATGAGTTACGAGTAGGGTTAGAGAAACAGTCCTCTGAAAGCTTCCAACCCCTCTTCTCCCGCATCAAAAAAGAACAGCATGTTCACACTCTAATGGTATTACGTAGAAAACTCTTAAATATGTTTTTATCATGATTCACTTTTATTACTATTTTTAAATTTTTTTAAAGTAGTCTTATTAGACAAATCTGTAAGAACACACAACAGACTTGAGTCACTGTCAATGGAAAAGCTTCCGTTTTTACAGTGCACAGCTTTGACCATCCCAGAATGTATTAATCAAGAGCCTGGGATCCTTCACAAAAAGACAGTTAAGACACAGATATTTATTTTATTAACCATTTTTTAATGCTGCTAGGGAACTGACATTGTAAAAGAACGCCTTCCATTTTCTACCATCTTCAGAGGACATCCAGCTCTAATTACTCTGTTTTGTCCAAGATTTTATAACTATGTCTAAAAAATAAATTGATCCAGGCAAGTCTATCAAATCTTTTACAGAGCCTTCCTTTATAGTCACCTCTCTTAGCCCGAGTGTTTTAAAACAACGGCAAAAAAATCCATCCAACTGTGACTCAAGGTTGCTCTCCCTGCTGCTTTGTGTTTTCCTCATGAATAGAAAACACCTGAATAGAAGGACATAAATATCAGCCTCTTTCCCAGCTTTAGGGTGTTCCTGCCTTTGCTAACAGTAGGAAATCTTTATGAGAATTAGAAAGTCTGAGAGCCCCAATGTAGGCAAACTTGTCTCAATCTCTGCTAATAGAGTCAGAACCACACAGGGATGCAGAAAAGGTGCTGCTACATGTGAAAGATTGCCGCGTGTAACCTTTTAAGTCCCGACATTGCTCAGCTTCCTTACTTATACAATATGTGGAAACAGATGGGACCCTCAAATTAAGACTAGCAATCCACTTGAGCATAGGAAGGATTAATAAACCTCCTCATCAGATACAGCAAAAAGTATGTCCGAAATTGTCCTGGACCTGGAGTTCTCAATTTTGTCTTACAAGCTGAATCAGTCTCTTGTATTAATATGCCCAAGTTGCTATGGGCACAAGTGACTGTCTCACTTTTTCAAGGAGGCACCAAGAATAAAGACATGACTGCCTGGCCTTCACAAATGTCCTATGGATCTTTCCTTCACCTGAAGGAACTAATTCCACATCTTCCTAACTCCCAGCAGATTAAGACCATGTGGACATTGTGTACTGCAACACCACAACCATACCTCTGCTCATTTCCTGACTTGAGTATCTCATTGCTGATGATTTCCAATTTAAATAAACCTCTCATCTGACTGACTGTCAGGAGGGACTGCTAATAGATCTGCAACCTAAATCAATTAGTATAGCAGCTCTTGACAAACTTTTCTGGTAAAACATGTGGAGACAAGTCTGGTTCCAAGGAGGTCAGTGAGAAAATCCCTGATTTCAGTGAGCAAAGGAACAGACACATGGTTGGAAGCAAACAAATTGTAAATAAACTAACAACTTGGGGATAATAAAAGCTTAATATTAGTCAAGAAATCTTTATTTCCACATTTTAAACTGTCCAATATTATTTCCAGTCAATCTCCACATGAATCAGCTATTAATCAAAGAATCTAAGACAAAGTCAAGGGTACTTTCTTAAATGCTATGTCTTTATGTAAAAGAGTGATCATCAATCATCTCACTATTATCACAGTACCATTAAGGAAAATGTATTTACCATTTCATTAAAGTTCCGCCCTTTAAAATCACCAACACAAAAAACTTCACTTCCATATTCGTGCAGACTTACATCCCCTGCAGTTTATGAATCATAAATAATCAGTAACAGAACCGCTGTAAAAATAATGACTAATTCGTGCAGCAATTCTTCCTGAATAATTTTTCATGGCTCCAGAGCGACAACAGCAACTAGAGCCAAACAAGGAGTGAAGCAAAGGTGGTGGTGAGTTCAGCCTCCTGGAAAGGCTCAGGATGGCTGTGCCAGTTGAGAATCATCGCACAGATGCCAAGATCCCTACAGACACCCTTTTGCCCTGAAGGGTCCTTCCCCCTACTTGCTATATCTTCTTTCCCCATTAGTCACTCCCACACTGACGCATCCCTTCCTTCACCTTTGTGGTATGTTTTCAGTCCTCTGCCCCTTTGGTTTTCTAAGTAGGTAATGGGAATCTCTTTCTGACTCAGCTCTCACTGCACCACTGCATTCCCCTAGATCCATCTCCCCATCTTTGCTAGAGCTGTTTTGCACTTCTTTCCAGCTTGGCTTTCCCAATTTACACTGTTGACACCTCAGTCCATCCTTTGGCTATACAACTTCCATATTCAATTACACCACTATTTTCAACCTCAGAGCCCTTCCCCTTTCTTCCTGATTAGACTACAGTCCTGGAAATTATTACATCCATATGTGACTTTAACACTCGTCTTAGCCTCACTTGAATGCCCACAACTGTTCTCCAGTATTCCTAGTCTGGAGCTTGTGTCCTGCTCCTCTTCCTGCTACAACAAACCCAGCCAGGGTGTCCATCTCCTCTTCCACTGTTCAGCAATGTTACACCCCTCTCTTCTTCCCCTTCTTTTCTTTGTGTTTTCTTTCTTAGTAGAACTACATCTCAGTATTTCTCCTTTCATTTTTTAATCTCTTCTGGTCCTTTCAACTCCCATCCACTGGCATTCTTCTATATTTAACACATGGCCACTCTTCTTCTGTTTGGAGTCTCCCCATGCTTCTTTGCCAGCTTCAACTGTTACAGGGAGTATCACCTGACCTGTCTAGCAACTTGTGTGTAGTAAAGAAAGGACAGATTTAGAGGAGAAAAATTAAGAGCTCTTTTCACAAAGATGCCACCTCTGACTCAAGAAGACCCTAAATGATAAGCTTGCAAAGGCTGGGAGAATAATCAGGGTAGATCACTACACTCCTTCTCCTGGAGACTTGGTCCTGAGCCAGACAGCATTTGGTACAACCTCTACGGCTTTTCCAGACACCGTTCTTCCCCGATTCATTCATCTGACCAGCTGCCTCTGTTTGTCCTCTCCACCCATCAGTACAGCTACTCTCTCTTTCAGGGAACACTGCTCTCTGTCACCTCTGTTGTCCAGGCCCGTTTTTTTTTACTCTCCCCTTGCTGTGTCTTGCAATCGACTGTTGCTTCTGCTCTCTCAGGTGCTGCTACTCCGCATTTCCCTGGCTCCCGCCAGAGGGCTGATAACTCACCCTGCACCACCAGTTGCTCTCCTCATGCCAGCCAGCTGCCACTTTTCCAAGGAGTCCAGACGAGCCATAGTTGGATAGCTCAGCTCTAGAGCTAGTGTAAGGTCATGCTAATTTAATAACTTAAAATAATGATCAAACACACATACCATTCAGATGAAATAAGGCTTCATTGTTTTTGATGTAGCCTCTGCAAACTCTGCAAGCATCCGTAACAGAAGCCTGACCCATAAGATACACAGGAACTAGTAAAAAAATGTGCGTATGCATTTTGAAGAGCAAGCCTTGTAACATAAGCCTTGTGTAA